TAGTAAAAACTTAACTGAAAACATGCAAATCACTACTTATTATGTGTTTATGTGTACTGTACATTTTTTCAACCCATTTTAATGAATGTTTAATATTTAAAATTTTTCAGAATTACAAGCTTCACCTCCTGCTAAAAGTTCTACACCAGCAGCTGGACCATCCTCTGCTGACAGTGTCGATGCTGGACCAGTCCCAGACCCAGAGGCTCTAAACGAGGAATTTATTCTTCATTTAGAGCCTGTACCAACATCTTCCCTCTGTCAGCCTCCTGCATCCTCCTCTTCATCTCTGCTTCCTCCTGCATCCTCCTCCCCATCTCTGCTTCCTCCTGCATCCTCCTCTCCATCTCTGCTTCCTCCTGCATATTCCTCTCTGTCTCTGCTTCCTCCTGCATCCTCCTCTCCATCTCTGCTTCCTCCTGCATCCTCCTCTCCATCTCTGCTTCCTCCTGCATCCTCCTCTCCATCTCTGCTTCCTCCTGCATCCTCCTCTTCATCTCTGCTTTCTCCTGCATCCTCCTCTCCATCTCTGCTTCATCCTGCATCCTCCTCTCCATCTCTGCTTCCTCCTGCATCCTCCTCTCCATCTCTGCTTCCTCCTGCATCCTCCTCTTCATCTCTGCTTTCTCCTGCATCCTCCTCTCCATCTCCACATCCTGCATCTCCCTCAATTTCTACGGTGTACACCTCGGATGTCCCAAACAAAAAAAGGACAAGGAAAGGTTAGACGTTATGGTATTGTAAATGTACGAAACACATGACATGTTCGTTAAGTTTGTTAAGATTTCTTTTTCTTAATTTTTGCATTTTTTCCAGTTTTACAGATCTCATGTAAATATTTCATTTGTTATTTTTCAGAATGCCGAAAACATCGTACACAGAAGATTTTCAAATATGAAGAGATAGTAGACAGGAGAGTTGTAAATGTAAGTAATTTAGCCTGCTGTTGTGCAGATTTGTTTGCGTCTTTGGACTTCCCGGATTTGAACTGTGCCTGACTGAATATCCATAAGCTTTTGTATTTGATGAATCTACACTAATTCAGCCACTGAGTCAGGATTTCACTCCAAATAGGACATTAAATAAGAACAGACCACCTGATACGACCTGGTCATGCTGCCTTCCTGATGTTTACGTTCTTTAAAGTCCTCCTGACATCATGCTCAGAAGGAGTGATTGATGTGGAGGTGCTCCTTCCCATTCAGTAACATCTGCTTCAGTTAGTTTTGCTTGTGAGCCACAATGTAAGCAGTGTTGCTTTGCTGACATGCACTCGATGCTGGCAGTACAAGCATTGTAGTGGTTCTTATGTTTTTGTAAACTAATTGTATAATATATTGAGCCATTCAATAGTACACAAATGTTTATAAGCTCCTTTTTGTATGCAACTTGCATGTCTTTCTTAATTAATTGTTTGTTTATATCATGTTTTTCAGGAAAAAGAAGAAGTTAAAGTCAAGTGGAAGCCTTGCTCAACATGGTATGTAGTAACAACTTTGTTGGACGGGAACAGACATTCATATTGTTGATAAATAGTTATCAACTCAATTTGAATTCATGTATTTGGACTAAAGTAAATTGGGAGCTTTTAGCTATCGAGCTCCTCTTCTGTGAGGAGCTTGATAGCTGTCCACCTCCAAAGTCCATTATGAGTTCTGGAGGTGGACATGGTCAACACTTTTAAGAGTAGGCATAAGACTTTACTTCTTTATAGAGCTTATAGTTAGGGCTGGTTCAGCTCAGCCCTTAGTTATGCTGTAATAGGACCAGACTGCTGGGGGTTAGTGTCCCCCCCCCTCTCTCTCTGTCTCTTTCAGGGTTATGCAGGCTCAGTATTGGTTGAAGATGCAGTCACGTCTCCTTTTACTGAAAACTCTCCCCCTCTCCCTCACCACCATCTGTAAACATACATGTCTCAGTAATGCAGTTCATGCATGTTACTAACTAAACTTCTTCCCTGGAGTTTCTGTGCTCTCTCATCCAGCAGGTTCCAATGGATCGTGGCTGCTGCTGTGGTCCTGCTTGACATCTACTACATATATTAATACTCTCTGACTTGATTTGATTAATTTATATTACAATGAAGGTGTATAAAGCATGACATGAATATAGAAGATATTTCATCCTAAAAAATTGTCATATGTCACAACCTAAATTGTCCTATTTTGTGTGTGGTTGTCGTTGTTGTTTGTTATGTTTTTCTCCTGACAGTGGCAAAGTGTGGGATGACACATGGGAACCTGCGCAGTTTTACACACAGTAAACCAGGCACCACAGGTCGCAGAGATCGCACAGTTCACAGCTTGCAGTTCAGCATAAAAGTTCAAAATAAAATATTTACTATACATTTCAACCAGTGTCAGTCTCTGTTTCACTCTCTAATTGTGGCTTAAGTACCTAACATATTCATGAATCTGATCGATCAATAATATCTTCCCTGCACTCGACATCTCATAGTTTTACATATCAGCCAACATTATTGTCTACATCCTCATAAATATAGAAGTGACTTGCTTATTATAACATATTACAAGGTAAAGTAATACTGCACTGCACGTATAGTAAGTAACACCTACTGTGTATGGGAGCCTAAAGCAAAGTTAACTGCACCAGTACCAGCTTCAGAACATATTGTATATTATATGTTTCTACCTTTTTGTAATATGTCATGTTTAGATGCAGTGACAATTGCACATTTGGAGTTGTGGTCATATGTGGTCTTTATATACAGGGTATTAAAAAAAATTGACATTTTTTGCTATTTTTCTTGTTTGTTTGCACAATATTATTGTGTACATATTACATATGTAACATTATTGTTAATATTATTATTAGATATCAAAGATACAATTTGATTGAGGGTTTTCCTGTCATAATTTCAATAAAAATGCTATTACACACGTAAACAATAGGATCAAAATAAACTTTTAAAAAGTCTGTTGATCAAATGCTGATTTTCAAAACATTCTAGAGGAAAACAGAGATAAAATAATCTGAACAGTAACAGTGATTGTGGATGATGATGGAGGCTTCAATGGATTATTCTGTTTCAATCAATAGGTTTGTATCTATGACAATAATTTGATAAGTTTAACAGGTTGGTTTAGGCCTGGCAATACAGCAAATATTCACAAACTTTTGTTTTTGAAGAATGTTTATCTTTTTTGGGATGAAGCTATCTGGCAAAATGAGACAACCCTTTTAACCTAATCTTTATGTCTTTTTTGTGGCTATGATACTGGATTTTGGTTTGATGCATATGCAGGTTACAGCTGGGGAATGGCAGTATGTTGTGGATTGATTTGGCATGTTCAACCACTGTTACACCAAACTCTCTCACTTATAACATGATAAAGGCCTCTTACTCAGTGTCATGGATTTTCTATACTTTTGGGGACACAGGGCCAAAGTCTGAGGCAATAAGTCAGATCAAAGAAGGCAATGATTCTAAAATGGGAGTTTACTTATGTCATTATATATATCCAGGAATATGTGCCAGAGGATAGTTGTCATGAAATCAATATTAAATCAAAGTATTCCTTAATTACCACAGCTGACACAAGTTCTCCATAGCTGCCTGCTGTCTCAGGATCTGTCTCCAAAAAGGACCAGGGAGCGCTAATATGTTATGTTCTAAACTGATGAAGAAAATGCACATTAAACATAGTATAAACTTACTGAGTGAAGTAATGTGAAGAGGATGCCTTTAGCTCCTATTGGGTTGGTTCCTTGATCAATGCAATACAGAATCATTAATCTGGTTTTATGTAATGTCCTCAAAACATGTCAAAATGAGGCTCACTAGTCTGTGTGGCCTCCACATGCCTGTATGACCTCCCTACAACACCTGGGCATTCTCCTGATGGATCTCCTCCCAGACTCCAGGACTAAAGCATCTGCCCACTCCTGGACATTTTGTGGTGCAGTTGGTGGATGGAGCGAGACATAATGTCCCAGATGTCCTCAATTGGATTCAGTTCTGGGGAATGGGCGGGCCAGTCCACAGCATCAATGCCTTCGTCTTGCAGGAACTGCTGACACACTCCAGCCACATGAGGTCTAGGATTGTCTTGCATTAGGAGGAACCCGGGGCCAACCGCACCAGCATATGGTCTCACAAGGGGTCTGAGGATCTCATCTCAGTACCTAATGGCAGTCAGGCTACCTCTGCCGAACACATGGAGGGCTGTGCTGCTCCCCAAAGAAATGCCACCCCACACCAAAACTGACCCACTGCCAAACTCATGCTGGAGGATGTTGCAGGCAGCAGAAGGTTCTCCACGGCGTCTCCAGACTGTCACAAGTGCTCAGTGTGAACCTGCTTTCATCTGTGAGGAGCACAGGGCGCCAGTGGCAAAGTTGCCAATCTTTGTGTTCTCTGGCAAATGCCAAACATACGGCACTGTGTTGGGCTGTAAGCACAACCCCACCTGTGGACGTCGGGCCCTCATACCACCCTCATGGAGTCCATTTCTGACCGTTTGAGCGGACGTGCACATTTGTGGCCTGTTGGAGGTCATTTTGCACAGCTCTGGCCTTTCTTTCCTACCTCACAGTACCTTCCCTTACCATTTGTTTCCTACTCTTTTACTTCTTCTTTGATGACGGTTGTCTTTCTAGATAAGCAATTTCATTTGCTCTGGGGCGAGTCAATGGCTCGGGTGCATTCTGGGACTGTCAGTTCACCAGTGTGCTGGCATGCTTCTTAACAAACACACCACTACAGCAAACATCTCAGTTGTACTTGTTGATTTCTTCGACAAAACACTGAACAAAAAATTTACTTGTGAGTGTGCTGCCTGGTGCTTTTAAATTTTGTGATTATTTGAGCAGCCCAGAAAGCATCCCATAAATTAAATTATGTTATCGTATCTGAACATGTACACTAGTCATTAAATTAGATGGGAAATATTGATTCAGGGTAAACAACTGCACCAAGGAAATTCCATTTTTCTTCTCAAAATGTAAAATGTCTGTTGAAAAATCACATTGAACAGAGATGTGATTAACTTTTTATTTTACCAAACATAACATCAATGATGACACAATCAGTCTTCATCAGAAGTGCTCAAATCACTCTCAGTGGCATCGTCTGGAATGTCCTCCTCCTCCTCCGAGTCCATTTCCAGGAGTGGTTGGTGGCTGAGGATTCTCTTGTACATGTCCTTTACTTTGAGCATTTCAGCTTTCAGTTCACTTTGTTTTTTTAAAACCAGGCTACAGAGTCCCTTCTGTGCATCCTCCGACATGCCAACAAAGGAGGCTGTAAAAAGAACAAAACAAATAAATATGAGAAAAGTAAAAAAAACAAACAACAAAAAAACATCACCTCATAAACACAAGGAATTAGGATGCTGTAATTAAACATTTTTTTAAAAGGGAGAAGGCAGTGTTAGCTAGCAATCTAGATATAGGTAAAAGATCCAGTAAGACTTTAGCATCTGCTCTTATTTTCAATCGATTCATCAAAAAATTAATAAATAAATAAAGTGCTTACAGTCTGAGGAGATTGTCCCCAACACCACAGAACGCATTCGCAACACTGTCCAGTGATGCCGCATCTCCCTGCAAAGGATCATCTCCTCCTCTCTCAGGCGCCTCACAGCCATCACCTTCTCAAAGACCTTTCTCTTTGTCCGGAGGTCAGCAGCAGCTACAGTTTAACAACATCAGATGGGAAAACATAGCAGCATATTATGATTCAAGAACAAAACATTCAACTACTGCTCAGATACTGGGAGCTTGTTTAAAAAGGATATTTATAAATCAAGAGCTTACGTTCACTTGTGCTCTGCCAGGGCCAAATATCGGTCTGCATGAGGGCATCACTGGATACGATTTGCTTTGTTGGTTCAGCGAGCTTGTTGTAGTCGTCAACAGCAGCCGCCAAGCGTTTCTTCTCAACTAAGATGACCTTGCGAATTCTGTGTCGCCTCTTGTTGCTATCTGTAAATAATCATAAAAAATTCACACCTTCACATAATGTATATAGTTTCATTTTAATCTACACTCATCAATTTGTTTGCTAGAACAAATCACATCCAGCTTAAACAAACCTGGATCTGATTTTATTCTGTTTACAAAGTAGCTGCACAAGCTGTACAAACTGAGCATCAAACGGTCCGTTTCAAAGAAACTGTGACACCATTTTGTCTGTAAAGACTTTGTGTTCGCACTCTGATGATGACGACAAGCTCCTCTACTCGTGCCTGCAACGCTCCAAGGCTGCCATCAGTTTGATCACTTTCTAAGTGAGAGGAATATTAATCAGAACACAGGATGAGTAACAGTCACCAAACTACAGTGGACTCTGTAATCACTGACTTGATGACATTCATTATAAGACATCTGGAGCCTTCATGTGCTGCCATCTCATGATAATCATGAGATAACAAGTATGTTGGTGTTCAGGTTTATAAAACCAACTAGTACGACATCATTTCAACCCAGGTTCTATCCAATTTGATGAAACGCAACAACTCTGCCATAAATTTGCTTTTCCAAGGCTTATTTTTCATTGTTTGTTGACACTGTCAGAAAGATCTTAACTCTAAGTTCTTTAATGAGGCCATGGTGGGTCCTATTGTTATACATGAGTGCATTATATTGAGACTCACCTTCAGCCCATTTCTGCACATCGGCCACCCATTGCTGCAGTGTGTCGTCATCCACACCCAGCTCATTTCTGGTCGCATTCAGGCTCTCCACTTGTTCTCTAAGGATCCTTATGATCTAAGAATGCATTCATAAATGTCATTCATATTGACATTAAAAGAGTACTGGTGTTTTCCCCCCATTACCACACACATTAAAATGGGTGTTGAAAAAATGACCTTTAGATATCGCTGGCTCAAAGTGCGGCCCAGTTGTTCCACTTTCCTTTTGTTCCACCCCAAAGCCAGGAGGGTCAGCATGTCTGTTCGCCCTGCATTTCAGTTAGTATACAAATTAGAATTAATGAGCAGGAGACTGAGTGGAATCTCAGACACGGACACACACCTGCTTTAGACATGTACTTCGTTGTGATGGCCGCCCTAGACAGGAAACTGTTTACTTGTTCCACCTCTTCTCCAACTGTTGAACCGGCCCCATCCTGAAACGCACCTCCCCATTTGATCTATAGAAAGGAGGTCACAATACATGACTGCTGAATTCATTCAACCTTATAACAAAATGTCTCAAACTAATCCAAAACTACAAGCTGCAGTATACCTCGCATTTCCAAGTGTGAGCCTTTGCATGCATGACGGAGAGAAAAGGACGCATTGACAAGAGGTTCCTCAGCTCAGGGCACTGCTGAGCCACCTTGGTTAAATAGGGGAAATATTTACAGGCCACATCGGAGCAAAGGAACGTAATATGTCCTGGGATGCTAGCTGCCAACTTCCTCTGGAGAAAAAGGGGGTAAGCAAAGATCTCCCCTCGAAACATGTTCAATGCAGCTAAGAGGACTCCGTGGCGACAAACAGCTATTTCCATGCCCTCCTCATCCAACTTCCCAGTGGACTTTTTGGACGACTCCTTTGCTGCAGTCCAAGATGAAGATCCGCACAACCCTTTCCCCGGGACCTATACACTCAAAGATTTTAACATAAAAGACATGACATGATGAAGCCCTATCAGGGACAAACTTTTTAAAACAAACGCATAACAATTAGCTGAATTAGCCTCGAGTCACACAAGACCTCAGATCTCCCCAGGACAGCACTGATAACACAAAATAAAAATCATGTTGTTTTTTTTAAATACACATGGTGACAAAATTAAGTACACATTAAGATAAAATAAAGTAAATAGTATTATGACAACACCAAGAGAAAAATAAAAAAAAATATCGACCCATCCATATATGTCTACACACACAAACACACACACACACACACACACACACGTATGTGTATATGGTTACGGCATTAACGTCATTTTAACACGATTAACGCTAACAGCACTAATATATATATGTGTATCTTACATGATTTGTGTGTCTCTGGATGTATTTCACAAACTCAGCAACTTCCTCATCTTTTTCAATGAAGACACCTTCAAAGTTCCCCTGCTCTGAAGTGCTGAACGAACACAGTGACAGTTGTTTGAAAAGAAACATTAAAATACATTTTTCTACAAATCCATATTTGACTTATGTACACAATGTATAACGTACCTTGCATTAGACTGAAAGCGATAAAGCTTGCGGTTTCCATCAACTGAGACGGCAAGCATGTCTGGAGTGCAGGCAGGGCAGCTAAAGCATGGCTCCTTGCACATCCTGTCCACCTCAAACTTTACAGCACTCCACTCCAAGAAACTTTTACTGAAGGCATCAGCTGATATTCGGCCATTCTTTTACATAGAGGACATACAACAGAATATTCAAGGACAGTCATCATAAACATTGATTTGCACAATTTCCTTAAACTTAGCAAATTTAGAAACTCACCCTTCCGAAATGGGCTGTTCGTTCATCCAGCATTTTGACAAATGCCTTAAGTGACATCCCTGGTGCAGCTTCTTAATGTCATAGAACGACTGAAAGGCATCCATTGAAAACAGGGTGCAGAAATTTAAGGTGCCAGGCCAAGATCCACTACCCAGGATGTCTTTAACTGAGGGGGACCACATTAGGCCACAGCTGGTGCAGCTCACCACTGGCAGTGCAAGGTTATAACGGCCTTTAGAAAGGATAAGGATAAATTCAGTCATGGCTCAAAGCATTCATTTTTTTCATGTTGTTTTCAAATCGGTCTGGTAAATCCAAATGACCTTTGACAGGTGCCCACATATACTGCGGGCCGAGGGTAATTAAAACCAAGATAGCAATGCACAATTTGCAATAAAACCTCCAAACACATCTATTGTGTATGTAGTGTGTGACAAAAGGGCAACTTACCATTTATGGTTACAAGAGCCACAATTGCGCCGGGTGAAACCTCAACGTTACCTGCTGGGCAGTCACACACATGGTCTGGCCTTTGCACAGGCAACAGCCGAACTAACATTAAAACACACAATATATATAAAAAGAATTAGAAATTAACTGATACACAATAAATATACAATAACAGCACCCACTCATACATAGCAAGAAATGCATAAGACTTAAAAACTGTACCTATTGGCTTGTGAAACTCTGATGAAGGCTGCAAAAACCCTCCTGTTACTGCCTCTCTGTTGTGCAGGACAAAGCGTGTGTGAACTGCAATATCACAGTCAGCACAAAGGAATGGAAGAGGCAGGCAGTCCAGACACCTCACAACTACTTGTTTGCCACACTGACACACACGGTGTGACTGTGGATCCAGAGTAGCTAACATATTGTCTATAAGACAAGGCCTGGCCTCTTTCCACTTTTGCGAGGACACCATATTTCTGATCGCCCAGTGAGTAGCAGCTGACTCAGACGACGTCTCACAAGTCATGGCTGCGTCCTCTTCTCCATCCTCCAACAATTGAAGGAGCTCCTGACGAAGCACCTCAGTTCCATACACTAACAGAAAAAAAATAAAGAAAGGAAGAAACTCTGAAAAACACTCTAGGCAGTATGTTTCTTAGGACTCCACAAAAGCCCTGCATAACTCAACTATAACAACAAATATAAAAGTAAACAGAAATCACAATATATACAAGAAGGTAAAGTACCTTTTGTTGGGTTGACACTGGCAACATAACTAGGTTCTTCACGTGGACATTGATGCTGCTCTCTGGACACGGGGGGGGGGGGGGAGGGGGATGAAGAATATTTACTTACTGAAATTCTTTGGTGAAAACAAGTTTGAGATAAAATCAATGGTTGTGTGAACACTGACCACGTGGCATGCAACTAGTACTTCGACTGGTTGATGGTCTTTGAGGAATAAAAGCTCCCTGTCTGTCACGTTTTTTCCAGCGCACTGGTCTTGGCTGAGGTTCACTCTGTGCATCATTCTACGCAATTAACAAGGAAAAAAGGGAACACCTAAAATACAGTCTATGATTAAAGCAAAGATTATCAAACATCTTAAGTTAACCAACTTAATTTGACATAAACTTTAAAAAAATTCAAATAACATAACGTTTACTCCGTACAAAATATTAGACAAGCGTGTTCCCTCTTTAACAACTGTTTCCACTAAAAATGTTACCTGCGTATCTTGAAGGAGTTCGTCAGCAGCCTGAAGCTCTTCCTCCAGCTCGGGATCCTCTGAATCACTCATTTTCAAGCTAAAGAGGAAAGAGATTTTTGCAGAACTCAGTGACATAAACACATAACTAACGCAATTCAAATGATTTTCAGTCTTGGCGCTCCGGTTAATGTTAGCAATTAACGTTAGCATCATCAGTTTGTAAAGAGCTAGCAGAACTCTTAGCGCAAAAACTGCTTTACGCACCATGTGAGGGTATTTTGCAGCACACAAGTCCTTTAACGTTTGTAATAGATTTAATCCATCATCGTTGGATTAAATGGCTAATGCTGCAGTAGACACGTGTAGTCGTTACCTAGCAAGCATGCTGACGGTAGCTGTAGCCATTTTTAAATACATTACACCGTTTCCGAGATCAGTCACCTCTGTTTGTTTGAAGCTTTTATGAAAAAACAAACTTTGAAACACACATCAAGGTATTACTTTAAATATATGTATTTTTTACATACCTGCATTAGAATCAATCAGTTCCGCCTCATTTTCTTATTCTTATAAATGGGTCTCTCCGTTCTCCCATCAGCCTTTGCTTACACAGGTTGCGTCTGATTGGCTGGAGCCGAGCGCGTCCAAAACTAACAGGAGTGGTGAATGAATCTATAAATGTGTTTTACGTGTGAAATGAAAATAATAAACCTAACAAAGGATTATGTACGTTAAATCTGCGCACTTTCAGATCGTGAATCAGTTTGGAAAACACTGTGTGATGGCCACAACATGAAGCGATTTTATTGTTGAATTATCAGTGATACTTTCGTGTTTTTGTTGAGAAATGTTAACGATGTCATTAAAAGAAAGCATTAAATTAGGGAGAAAAACCCGTTCGCGGAGAGGGTCCCCGGTTCTCCAGTTAGATTGTGCTTCACGGCGTCATGTTTCGCCGTGACGGGGTTATTATTGGAGTAAATGGATGGCTGGAGCCTCTGCTCGAAGCGTCTCTGATCGCCGCGAGCGGGTTCATATTGGAATGAATTGACAACCCACAGCGTCACATAAAAACGTGGAAGGGTACCTTAGGCGTCAGCATGAGAAGTTAAGGGACGTGACAAATCGTCATTATTTTACGCGTCGGGAGTGAGAACGGGTTGGACCAGGGGCTAGTTATTCTGAGAACCCCTGCAATAAATGAGGGACCACTGTCTACTCTACGATTATTATATCCAACCTGTTAACATTTAATACTGTATTGATAGAACCAACTGATTCTGCAGCAGAGCATCCCCAGTCCCTGAGCTCCTGCTGCTGCACCCACAGATATGTACAGCAAGCACTGATACCTTTTTAGTCGGTGGGATTCCCTTGTGATCACCTTTACTAAATATCTACAACCAATCTGATTATATCCTGTTGTTTTTTTTTTTTTTCAATGTTGAAATTAAAATCTAGTAGCAGCCTTCTCATTTCTTTGTGTTTTGTGCTGTTTTACAGGCCCACAGAGGAGGACGGCTCCGAGGCAGATGAGGGACGGGTCCCAGGACGGTCCATCGGCGGTGGAGCTGGCCATCCTGGAGTCCCTGAAGAGGCCACACCAGTCTCCAATGGAGCATTTCCTCCTCAGCCTTGTTCCTGCTCTGGAGAGCAGCTGGTCCTTTTTATTCCTGTCTCTCTGTAAATTCTTATATTTTATATATTTATGTTTAATGTTTTTCTGTTTGAGACTTTTAATATTATTTCAAATAAATGTTTATAATGACTAATGTCTCAGTTCTACTACACAGCAAATGTTGGCACACAACTTGACACATGTAGAATTTATTTCATATTATACTAATGACAAAATATACTGATACAGTGGGATGCAGAAGTTTGGGCAACCTTGTTAATAGACATTATTTTCCTGTATAAATCGTTGGTTGTTACAATAAAAAATGTCAGTTAAATATCATACAGGAGACACACACAGTGATATTTGAGAAGTGAAAAGAAGTTTACTGGATTTACAGAAAGTGTGCAATAATTGTTTAAACAAAATCAAGCAGGTGCATCAATTTGGGCACCACAAAAAAGAAATGAAATGAATATTTAGTGTATATCAATGTGTGTGTCTCCTATATGATATATGGGGTGCCTTTGTCTGGATGTGCTTCCCATCCAGAGCTGCACAGCACAGAGGAAAGTTCCAGCGCTCCTGGAATCCCTCTGTGATGGAGCGCCAGTTTCCAGGTGAAGGCACAGCCATGAAGTCGTCCACTAGACAGTCCCAGATGGACGTCGCTGCCTGGGGGGTGATCTGGCTCACCGTGGACACACCGACTCTGAAACTGAACGCGATGGTCCTGAAGGAGTCCCCGGTGACAAGGAACCTGGACAAAATTGTTCAAAATCAGTATTATGTGTACTGCAGTTACAAAATACATTATTCAAATTCCAAAATACTTTTGTGATGTCAGATATAAATCACAAAACTTAAATCTTACATAAAACATTTTGTAATTATAAGGATAATTACAAAATGTATATTAGATAATATCTAAAACAGTTGTGTTTTGTTTTAACTTTAACATATCATAATTTGATTGGTAGCAACTTTCACAACTACAGTGAGCCAATCACTCATAATTCCTAAACATGTCAATCGGGTAGGAATGAAGTAAGACATTAATAGAAATAAAGAGTTGTGTGTTGACATGTAGCCCTTTCCTTGCTTAAATCATTAATATTTTTGAAAAATTAATCTGTGATAAGACAGCTTATCAAGATAGAACCATGTAACTAGAGATGAACCAAACTGTTCACAGTTTTATCTAACTCTGTTTTAATAAAGGCTGTGACCCCTGCTATAGAGTCTGACAGCTGCAGGGATTATATACAAATATTCAACTATCCCAGAATTAAACCAGGTCTAAATAAAAAGGAGTGAGTATCACTACAAAGGTTAACTCAGTGGTCCTAATGCTACAGTTTGATATCAGCAAACACCGAGCGCATACATTGATGTGACACCACAGCCATGCTATCATGCAAACACTGATAACAGCATAAATCGAATTAAATCGGGACTTGATGAGACCTTCTGAGTATCACTAGAAATATTATAAAGAGTCGTCTCTGTACCACAGTTTGCTTTCAGTAAACACCGACAGCATTCACTGTTAGCATAGCACATCCATGTTAGCAGTGTATAACTGGATGGATTAGCATATTAGCACAGATATCAATAAAGGACTACCGTATTAAATAGTTTTACTAACCTCAGGCAGACGGACAGGCGCTCTGCAGGTGGGATTGAGCGTCTGTAGTTGGTGTCTAGGCGGGCGATGCTGGGACCGACGAGGGAAAGCAGGTCCTCAAACTGGCCGACGGTGATAGCGCTGGAATCGGCCGT